CGTCTGCCTCCTCATTTAGATCTGGGCTCTCCTTCTATGTGTTTATATAATATTTATCACATGTCAAAGACACTGCTTTCTACTCAACTGATTTGAAGTAGATTTGATCAAGCTCAGTACTAAAACAAGTTGTTTTCACCATGTCCCACTGTCATGAAAGACATTCACGTCTCACTTGATGTTGTTTGGCTGCTTACACATGACTTCTGTGGCTCTTTTAAAACTATAATGCTTATATATTAGATTCATAAATTATGTGATATTATATTGTCTTCAGATAAACAAGATGGACCGCAGTAGTCTGTGAAATCGCAGACAGTAAGTGCTTTAGGACAGCCTCCTGACGGTGTGGTCAGCACTCTTTAAACACAGGAGTTCTGTGGAGCACCTTTATAACTCAGTTGGGACCAGCACATATTTCTGCTTTATTTCATGTGATGATTCAAGTTTATGTGTCAGAAATTGCTCTAAAATGTAGACTTTACAGAGCTGCTGACTTCTCCACAGTGATTTAATGGCCCAATCAGTTAACAATGCTGAACAGTGCAAATTAAACAGTGAGGGTCAGCTCATTTGCATCCTACAATTAGCAGTGATAAGAGAAGAAAAGTAAGCCTTAAGCAGCCGCTAATTTCTCCCAGCGTGAGCACAAACACTGGCTGTATTTGGGGTCAGCCAGTTTCCACAACAGTAGAACATCATCCTTTTGTGAAACCATTAGTGTGGCCTTCCTCACAGAGAGAGCACTAAGAGAAAAATTCTTTTGCAGCCTCATCCTGCCACTGTCAATTTGGCCCAGTGGTGGTTGGAAGGTCGTTAGGCCATGCTTGTATCAGGAGGATTAGTCCTCAAATGGGATTAACGCCTTGTATGAAATATGGAGGAACGGGCTGGGGAATACTCAAGCAAGCAAGAGAGCAGCAATATTTAAATGCAGACAGACACATTCAAGTTAAACGATAATTTTATCATCATTAGGGGCCAGAGGGAGGGAGGATGATCATGTGCATGGAGATTACATTGAGATTTGAAACATGTGGTCTTATATTATTCAAGATCAAGAGATCAGCGGAGTGTAAAAGTGGCAGGACATTCAAAGAGTCTTTTAAGTTGTGTTTTGTTATGTTTAAGACTGGCCTCGTTGTTTTGGGCTCTGTTCTGGTCAATCTTTACTGAGTCAGAAAGTACAGGATGTGTGAAGAAGCACTGAGGTGGAATATCAGATACACACACTCACGCACACGCATACGCACACACATACACACACACGCGCGCGCACATACACACGCGCATATGCACACACGTGCACACACAACATACACTCACATACACACACACACACACATACCCACCCACACATACACACACTTGAGGTACTGTTAGACTCCACATGACCTGAGTGCCAGCAGGTCTTGTCAGCACTGGCCCTGTACATGTAGGTCATTTTGGACCTGGTACTCTACACCAACCTCCCTCTGTGTCTGTGAGCCTCTCTCACTTAGCCCCATGTCCTTTTTATCTGATATCACCCTGTGTTATACAATGGTGTTATTGGGATGTTTTTGGTCTTTATTCAAAAATTATATAAAGACATAAATTAGACCTACATACTGTATCTGACTACATGTAGAATTTGTAGTAGTATTATTAGTAGTGATGTTACAGTTTGTTGCACTAGTAGGCTATTAATTTAATTGAGTTTAAATGTAAAGTACTTTTGCTTTACATTTAACTTTACTAATCATATTTTTGTATACATGACAAGCAAAAATTGAAGTAATCAGAACAGAACTGTCTGACACTTTCAAAAGGGCCCAAGGTCTACATCTGGGTTCTGCATGTTACATAACGGTGAGAATTCAAGACCAGATCACTAAACATCTTTAAACAAGCATTCTATCCAAACTGAGGAGTTAATCGCCCATAATGTACCTCCCCTGTGTAATTTTTACTAGAGTCTCATTACTGCTCCCGATACCAGAGCAGACGAGTGTGTTAAATATAACAGACATTTTTTTGTGAATGCATTAAACTGCTCCAAGTTGCAATGCAAATGTATATTTTTCTGTCTGAGTGCCCGGGCAAACAGTTGGTGCCTGGAATCCTGGGCATCGACAAAACATTATGCCTCCCACTGATGTTGGTACAGCAGCAATCATACGCCACCAGCTAAATTTACACTTTAATAGAAACATATGACATTGCTTGCTGTTATGAGAGTTATTTAAAATGTCCCCAGCATACATAAACATGTCACAATCTAGCTCTTCATGTGCAATATGGAAACCCACAAATTAATACTTGCATATTTTAGCTTTCTGTCCTGTTCATATTTTGTCATTTTCAAGTATTTAATAACAAAAAGTCTCCCCTGTTGAAAGGAGGCGAGCATATGTTCACATGCACAACTCTGCAGATGACACAGGGCACGCTCCATTCCCTGCTTTGGTTGATCTGTTCTGGGCCAAAGGCATTGTTATTTGAAAATTCATTGCACCTGGCCATACTTACTTACTTACTATATTGTCACATATAAGATACTGGAATGCCCCCCAAATGTAATGTGTGCTCTCCATTCTCTCCATTTCAGACCACACAGAATGATTATCTAATGTAAACATCTTATACAACTTACCACTGACTGTGTAAAGGCACATGTCCCTAACATGTCTGAAATTATCTGGATAATTGACTCTCTGACTGTGTTATTAATAGATGCATATTTGTTTTATTAAACAACAAAAAGCAGTGTTGCAAAAAAACAGTACATAGGTCACTAGGCCCTCGGAGTCATCCTGTTACAGATGTATAGTGTGAAAAACTGACAGTGAAGAGGCATTTTTCACCAGTGCTTTGGGTCCACCCGCTGCCTACAGCCCTGTTGCCTGGCAACTCCCCAGATGACATCCTCCAAAAAAAGCAGAGCTACAGAGAGCTTTACTGTGACAGAGCAAACTTCTGAAGGGCCGTAGCTCATTTTGTCCTGTTGTTTGGATGTTAGTGATGGGTTTACTCTGCGCATGTAGACCACTGACGCACAATGTCTCACACTTAATAAGTACATGCAAGACATTCATGAAGAATGGCATCCTTTTACTCAAGTACAACAGTTAGATGAGCCTAAACTGCATTTGTCTTTCAAAATATTACAAAATCATTCAAAGTATGAATCGAGTATATGCTCTTCCTTGTCGAAAATAGCCCAGCTGTGAGTCATCTTCTGCCCCACTTTGTAATGGATCCATATTCTAATAAGTTAGTTAAGATGTTCCTTGCACCAAACAACAGTCAGTGCTCAAATTATTCTTAGGCATGTGTGAATGAGTCAGGATGTATGTACAGCTGAGAGATTTGACTAAACCTTTTCTTCCTGTTTCCGAGGTTACACTGATCTAGTGTACACGCTGAAGGGACTGACATGTAGTCGTGCTGTGTTCTAAGTATGTTTCTCTGCAGGCAGTGATGTGCACGTGCACACACACAGTATTCTGCAGAATTAAAACTTGATGAGGGAAATGCTATAGGGATGAGAAAGACTGCTGTTTTTCTTAGAATGCACAAAGGGTGAGCTTGTGTCCTTTGCCATAGAAATAATGAAGACTATATGGTATGATACCCAGGGCAAAATAAATGATACAGTATGGGGTAATTTTGGTAAATCAGCGCTGCTCTTTTCCTTCTACAGATATGACCCTTTTGAGAAATACTAATGCAAGTCCATCAAGGTCATTGAGGAAAACTCGAATTGCTGCAATTTCCCTTAATGCAAGCTCAATGGAGAACACTGGGGTCAAATGATGAGTGGAGAAGATGTGATGCTGCACTTACAGGCAGGGGGAGAGGTGAACCAAACTCATGTATTACACTGGAAAAATAGAGGAGCTCAGTCCATATAGTATAATCCATAGGTTTCAAATGAGGGTCAGTAAATCAGTAAATCTTTTGAATCTGCAAAAGTCCTCAAAATGTCCTTCAAATTAGAGGAGGAAGCAGCAGGAGTTTGGCGGTATTGGACGTTGGGGTGTAAAGAGAGGGAAGGAGTGTGGGAGGGTTTATTTTTTTTGTTCAATTTTTGTCCTTGTTTTTGTTAAAATCAATTTAAAAAATGTCCTTTAAATCAGATAGAAGTCATATCACTGAATAGGAAAGTGGTAATTGTAGACAATAGTGGCACTGCTTCTCGTGTCCCAAGTTGATCCATTGCAGATAAATGTATGCTAATGCCTTATATGATTAGTTTTTCCATTGCTCTGAGATACAAGAGGGCCTTCCCACCCCAGGACCTCCTATTCCCATCTGGTCACCTGTTAGACTGTCAGTGTTGATAAATATAGAAAAAATGGCATTACAGAAGAAAGTATGTGAGAGGAGAAAGGGAAGAAGAGGTGTAAATCACATTAATGAGTAAGCATCATTAGTCGTGGCCATTAGCGAGCTAAGCAAAGATGAACTTCAGCTGACTTCGGGGACAGCTGTGGACAATGTTTAGTGGGATTTGATTGGACACCTGGAGGATTACTGCCATCTTTCATCATAAACTCACTGTCAACATATCGACATACATACTCAAATAGAAATAGAAATACAAGCAAATGTGGTACCACTTCATAAGAAATATTCACATTTAATAACTTAATTAAGAGGTTATGAAATTAAGTAGTTGCTAAGCATGAATTGTTATTTAAAACGGTGTAAAAAAAAAAGTTTAGTATATAAATGATATAGTGTGTTGAATTGTTGCAGTAGAGCTTGGCAGATGTCTTGGTTTGTTAGTTGAAGTCTATTGTAGTTTTAATTGATTGTTTTAGTACTGCTGATTTTTCTTTAGTGCTATTTATTTATGAATGACACAACTTATGTTGAGTATTTTCAGAGCTGAATTGTATTTTTTCCCTGTATTTAAAATTAATATCTGATTTAAGCTATAAACTGATTCCTTTGATGGTTTGATAAACTGTTGGAGTTGCCTTATCTCTATTTCTCTGTGTTTGTGTCAACAGCCGGATCCTCACGGCCGAGACATCGCCATCCGTCCTTTCTTGGAGCACTGTGAGAACACCCACATGACCATTTGGCTTGGCATCGTTTATGCCTACAAGGGACTGCTAATGGTGAGAGGACACAGAATTCTCTCATGTACTCTCAGTCTGGAGACTCAAATGCCTCTTTTCACACCAATACACATGCAGCGGGGTCCTTATGGCTCTATAGGCATGTCACTTTACTTCCTGTTCAGAGACCTATACATCTACAAGCTTATTCAACCTTTACCTTGACTGTACTATTGAGTGGGATAATGTCTGATTATGAAAATATATACTACTTTTGTTAAAAAGAAACTTGACTTAACTTCAGTTGTAAACTGTTTAATATTATAGTTTTAGTCTATCAACAAAACTGAAAATCTGAGGGAATATTAGTGTTTGCCCCAAAATATTTTCCATTGTACATTCATAGTGTCACCTATCAGCATCTTATTTTTTGGCAATTGTATTTTAGGAAAGTCTTCTCTTGCCACAATGCATCTATTGTTCAAGATGTAATTGAAGGGTATTAGTGAGAACAAAATATATAAGTACTATAGATTAACAAATGGGAAGAGGGCCATCATTTGAGCTTGTAGTGAACCTTATAACACAGACAACCAAATTAACTGTAAATCCACATAGAGTGCAAAAAATACACTGGTGCAGCACCTTCCAACTAAATGTGCCTGGAAAAGGGATCTTTAGGAACATTTGTTAAGTTCAAGGTCCTATATTACACAAAACTGACTCTTGTGAGCTTTTAGCCATGTTAGAATGTTGTTACCTCATGAAATTATATATATATATTATTAGTCTGTCTACATTTCCAAAGCTCAAAATACTCTGGTCCACCTTGTGATTTCATGAAGCGGCAGTTTTCAAATTAACAGCTATCTTTTATCTTTTGTTTGGTAGAGACAGGCCAATCCAGGGCTGAAATCATCCAAGAGTTTCGTGTTTAAAAACACAGTGGAGCACTTTTTGTATTGCCACATGACATCACAAGGTGGAACAGAGCATTTTGAGCTTTGAAGATGTAGTTATAGATGTTTGCTGTTGCAGGTATGTTTGTGATGAGGATTATAACATAAATCAGAAAATAAAGTAATATGGGCTTTTAAAATTGAGGGTTAGAAACTGACTTGTAGACATATATAAATCCATATGTAACAAGACAGATAATAACTGCCCAGTGTCAGTAGATCGACCAACATTTACCACCTGACCTCCAATGCTATATAACCTGTTATGATATTGTACTGTATATATTGAGAAGCAGTATAGTGCAAACACAAACAATCGATAAGCTATCCCACATAATGGTCTTATCAAAGAAAACAAATGGTACCAATAAAGTCATAAGTGTGAGCGCTTAACATAATTTTTTATATCTTTTCATCCTACAGTTGTTCGGGTGCTTCCTGGCCTGGGAAACAAGGAACGTGAGCATCCCTGCCCTTAATGATAGCAAATACATCGGGATGAGTGTGTACAATGTGGGCATCATGTGTATTATTGGAGCAGCTGTGTCTTTCCTCACACGGGACCAACCCAATGTCCAGTTCTGCATCGTGGCCTTGGTCATCATCTTCTGCAGCACCATCACACTGTGTCTCGTCTTTGTCCCTAAGGTTAGTTACCACTGTTGGATAAAGTACTAATTTTGCTGCCTAAGTATAAGTGCAGATACAGAGGTAAAAAGTTAAAAAGTAAAAGTATCACTTGAAAAAATTGACTTAAGTAAAAGTATTTAAAATGTACTTTAAGTGTAAAAAGTAAAAGTATTTCACATATATCAAGTATTGTTCATTTATTAAAATGCAGTGCAAATGAATTGAAAAAGGATATATGTTTTAGGTAACAGTTGCAATATGAATCATTGTTTTCATTTTTTGTTTAGATGTTCATTTTGTCTTCTTATTTTTTTTAACTTCTTGGGTTAATTTTTTATTTAATTATTTTTTTGTTTGTTTGTTGTTGTTTTTTTCATGAATTTTGTGTATTTATTTTTGTTTGCTCAAAGATGAAGATGAAGATTGTACTCAAAACCTTGAGGATGTTACCACAAACATGGTCAAAATAACATAAAAAAATAAAATAACATAATAATGAACAGTCCAACTTTTTCATCAAGTGACTGTGTAATTAATCATGATTATAATTACCTCTCCAATCAATTATGAAGATTGTTCTGAATGGTATGGGTGGTCAATCTGTTCTACTAAACCTAAAGCAAAATCACTGATCTTAAAGATAAAGGTTTATCTTATCAAATCTACATGAATGACAATCTTGACTGATAAAAGCCTATTCTCCCTCTACTTGATAGTTTGTGAGTGTATATAAACATATGACCCAAATAAATTGCATTATTATAAAAAAAGACAATTTCATAAATATTACATATTATGGTAAAAGCAACTATTAAATACAAAGTAAACTTTAATATATGTTGCCCACAGAGTCCAAAATGCCTACAGTAACTATTCCCTATATCTTCTGTTTCAGCTAATTACCATGAGAACAAATCCAGACGCAGCCACTCAGAACCGGAGGTTAAAGTTCACCCAGAATCAAAAGAAGGAAGACTCCAAGACCTCCACCTCTGTCACGAGTGTTAACCAGGCCAACACTTCGCGGCTAGACGGGCTGCAGACAGACAACCACCGACTGCGCATGAGGATTACAGAGGTCAGCCATTTTCCCTTGTTAAGATAGCACACAATGTGATGCAAGCAAACTAGAAAAGAAGAAAACATTTGCAGCCCTTTGAAAAGTACAAAGAAGCAATTGCAGCATTTTGTTCTACATAGCAGTTGCAGTAATGTGTGTTTTCTCATAATTGTGTGGCCCACTTAAGCTTGGTTGGTAGAGAGAGGCGTTTATATAAAACTGATGCAACTTATTTCTGGTGAATTATGCTCATTTTTAACTCCTTGTGTTAATTTTTTTTTAAGTTGGATAAAGAATTGGAAGAAGTGACCATGCAGCTGCAGGATACACCTGAGAAAACTCCATACATCAAACAGAACCACTATCCAGACGCAAACAACATCCTCAGCATACGCAACTTTACAGATGGCAAAGGTGAGACTCCCATCATACATCACAGTTAGAATAAAACAGTGGAAATAAAAAACTCCCAACTCAATTTCTACTAGATCTGCTCCATATGTCTCTAGATGCAGTGTCTTTTTGATGACCACATAAAACAACATAAATTGTGCTTGATATGATATAGCTGAGCTGAGGAAAGGGCAAAGTGATCGATGCTGCATTCCCCATATTATGCTAAAATGTTGAATAGACAGTATTCAGTTGTCAGTGATTTTAGCAGTGATAGTGGAGAAGAGTGAGGCTGTATGGGGCATCTGTATATTGTCCCAAACATGAGTAAAGAGGGAGAACAAAGGGCACATACCTAAACTAAATGAATATGTAAATCAATGCAAAATGGATGGGATGACACAATTCACCTTCTTTCAGAAATTGCTGTGGCTCGCCGTCTTCATTTGGGTTGTATTATCTTATATGGGGCTGCAAATTTTACTACTTCATATAGATTTATTGATTTGTTTATTTTGGTCACAGGTATATTCAGAAACATATAATGCATTATGTAACTTTTCTGGTGGAGGGTCTGTTAAATCCTTTTCTCCATAAAGATGTTATTGCTTTTTCTGGAATGTTTCACCATATGGCATTAAACCTTTCTATCGGGCCATGTTACAGGTCAAATCAGTTAGAATTTTCTAGGTATTTTTGAGCTATAAAACCAGTGTAATTGAATAAATGTAGCATAGAGCTGTTAAGTGTCATACTGTGGAACATCCCTGGCAGAGCAATAACATATCCATGAAAACAAGCAGGTGACAGACCCTTCACCAGAAAAAGTTACACAATGCACCTTTAAGCTTATTAGGTCTACCATTTATTCCTCTGTCATAGCATTGTTCATATTAATAAAAATAGCAAAAGGAAACAAATAAGTGAGTAACAGTACAGCAAAGTACTTCAGCACACAAGTATCATAATTAATTAGTTAAATATTTGAACTTCTTTTTAAAGAGAAAGAGAGTGGTGCATAATTTAAGTGTATTTATTTATTTGAGACAGGGACAGTGCACAATTTTTGCATTTTACCTTAACAGGAGAGATGCATTGTACATCAGGTTGTAGCATCAGTGCTAATTTCCACCTGTAGTCCCTGGACAGATTCATTCCTGGATTGATTGATTGTATTTAACTGACCTTGACTATCAACTGTTCTGGAGACCTGTGTAGCATGTTTTGGGTTGAAGTTCTTCGGTACAATTATTCCACCCCTTTAACAGATATACAAAATTTCATAATATTTGTCATTTTCTTTTTTATAAACATAGACATAGCCATACCTTTAACATCGTATTGTGTATTTACGGTTTTAAACATATTCTGGAGTGATTTTGACAAAAGATTTATTTTTTTTTACTTTGAATATGATTTTCAGTGTCTACTAAATCATAACATTTCAGAATTTTAAAGTTTATTAACTTAATAATAATAATAATAATAATAATAATAATAATAATAATAATAATAATAATAATAATAATAATAATAATTTATTTTAGGTTCAGAACGTTCCTAAAATTTTGTTAGTTTGCTTTAAGTGAATGGGATGCCCGCTTAACCCGAAGTGCCACGAAACACAAGTGCAGTTTAGTAGCATTTATAGGCAACAGTCACAATACGCCAAATGGGTATGCTGGTAAAATGAAACTTTAAATCTTTATACCTTCATCTATCAATAAAGTTTTCCCCATGCTGTTCTAGCTGTTGCGTGGTGTGCGCTGTCAGGTGAACTAGTGTCTGCCTGGGTTGTGAAGTGCCTCAGGATGACTCATAAGATTAGCTAAAGTACCTGCATAGCTCCACTACTGCTTGCTAACATTCAGCCTTTCTTTAGCCACTGTTCTAACACTCTCACTTTACAGCCAGCAGGGCTCCACACTTGTTTTGCACCTAATTATTTGGTGTTGGGGTGTTGCTTCATGAAAAAATACAATGCTAAAGAAAGAAGTTAGAAAGAGTTCATGCATATGGGTAACTGTTAACTATAGGCAACTTCACAATTTTGGGACTGATGCATTGCCAAGCTGTCCATGATTTTAAGATATGTTTCAGACCAATCTCATAACCAATCTTTTAGACCAATCTCTCAAAAGACAGTGATAGATGCTTGTTTGGGATAAATTGCTGTTTTAAATCCATGTGTTACAACCATGCAAATCACAATAGAGAAAAGTAATGTATATGTTATAATATCTATATATTTACATTGCCATCATATAAGCTTAAAGGTCCTATATTACGCAAAATGTATGCTTGTGAGCTTTTAGCCATGTTAAAATGTTGTTCCCTCATCAAAAATATGCCTGGAGTTATGTTTTGTTTCATTCACATATGTTATTACAGTTATTCAGTCTATATCTCCAAAGCTCAGAATGCTCTGTTCCACCTTGTGATGTCATGAAGCTGTAGTTTTCAAGTTTCAGTAGCTCCTTTTACCTTTAGTTCAGTAGAGGATTGAAATTCCACGGGTGAAATCATACAAATGATTCTAGTGAAGGTGTATGGAGTTTAAAAACACAGTGGAGCACTTCCAATATTAGCACATGACATCACAACGTGTTTTTTATTTAATAGAAGTACTCAGCCTAAATATGCTGGGTTTGTGTGTTAATCTCGTGTGAATGAAACAAAAACTCCAGGCGTGTTTTTGATGAGGAAACATTCTTACATAGATCAGAAAATAGATTAGTTCTGTGTGTCTACTGGTATTTAAACCATAAATAGGACAATGAATTGAGCTTCCTTTTTTAAATAACTTTCCTTTTGTTTTAAAGTTTGGCCTCTGCCTATAATCTCTAATATAAGCTTATTTTATGTGAAGCACCGAACCTCCTCGCGCCTGCCTGTCAGAATGATCATATCTGGCTCCTAACTGTATTCATTAGTATTGAGAGCAGCACTGGTCTAAATGTATTGGAGCCCGTGAATGAGTCGCTGTTATAAGGGGAGAAAAGCATGCCAACTGTGATTACACTCAAAGAAGCAACACCCACCCCCTCTCTCTCTTGCTCTCTCTCACTCTCTTTCTCTCTGTCTCTCTCTCTTTTTCTGTCTCTGTCCCTGTCTCTCTCTCGCTCTCTGTCTCTCTCTCTCTCTGTCTCGCTCTCTTTCTCTGTCTCTCTCTCTTTTCTCTTTTTCTCTGTCTGTGTCTCTGTCTCTCTCTGTCTCTCTGTCTGTCTCTCTCTCTCTCTTTCCCTGCAAGAGTTATGAATATGCACAAGCTTATGGCTTCCACTTCATCACCAGCCAATCACAGTTAAGGTGTGGTTGTTTTTGATCGGTGTCAGATGCCTTTATGAGAGGATTATTGTTACACATGATCACCGAAATTTGTAAATGTTATTAGATATGTGTCATATGTAACTAATACTGAACATTAATGCTCTACCATTTTCAGAGAGTTTATGGGACATGTGATTTGGCCATAACCCCAGTCCACATTACCACTGTGACATTTAAAATAACTGCAGAGAGAAGCACTGTTACTGCATTTTTTCTGCTTCATTACAATACAATGGTGCAAAACTGCCCCACTAGCACAGCATTTACAGCTCCCATAATAATGGAAGGCTAATGCCGGAGAAGTATTTTGTTTTGAGAAAATGTTTTCCATTATTACTTTTTGTTACTTTTTTCATCATAATCAGGATCATAATAAGGTTGAGCTTTGTTGCTATTGTCAGTGAAGTAAAATTCACTGAAACTGGGGCACACTAAAACATAGATAAGAACCTGAAATTATTTTGAAATGCATTACAGAACTGAAAAATAAAGTATCCACACTAAAATAAAATAGACTTGAAATATACCATTTCTGGACTTTTAAGGTTAATTGAGTAACATGCAAACAGCACAGTCAGATGTGAGTAATCCTGATCAGAAAGGGTTCAGATGAGTTTGCTATTTACTTGTTATTTAATAATCTTATAACTTAAAATAAATGAAAACATTTTTAAGTGTGCAGTGATGGGTGATGTGTTCAGGTTCAGATGTGCCCTATCACTGATCAGACAGAATATTAAATCTCTGAAGCAGAATTGCTTTAAAAGCATAAAAAGGGAAAAAACAGATTCCATTCTTACTCTAATGTAAGCACCAGTGTGTTAAAATAGAGCTGTGATGTCCCATGTTGCCTCAGACTGAATCAGGTCAGCTCTGGTAAATCTGGGACAACTGGAGAGAAAAGTGTTGTGGGGGAGAAAAGGGTCTTTCTATTACCCACTAGGTGTAATTCCCAAATCCCATAAGGCTGTTTACACCAGTGTGTATAACCACTATTGAACACAGTGAGGGGTTGTACAATTGCAAGTGCAGTCTTTAGGATGTGTCTCTAACTTTTGATTAGGAATTAATTTTTAAAATCAAGAATCTTCACTAATCTATGTCACAGTCTACTAGTATACATTTCTTTGAGTACATTATTGATCCCCCTGTGTTCATTCTTGCTGTAGATGGCGAGAAGTCCATCTTGAAAAACCACCTGGAGCAGAAACCCCAGGCACAGTGGGGCTCCATGGACCCATCCCGAATAAACCGAGGTCCCCTGGAAGACATCAACTCACCGGAACAGTAAGCTGCCCTCCCATTGTAACCCCTCCTCTGTGTCAGCATCCTCAGCACACCAGACACGTCACACGGACTGCACCACTCGTAGCAGCACTGAGGCGGTTGTCGTGGCAACAAGCCTGCAAAAGCATGGGCCGACCCGCTTCTCTCCCACACACATCAGCACACAGCTAACCACATGCTGTCTCTGTGGCGACGCTGGACATGAGCTACATATCTATACACAGGCATACATACTTTAGATTGATGTGTTGTCATCACAAGTAAACAATGATTGTTTGACAAACACACATCTCATCCACTTTATTCATAAGACAGTGAAGCTGAGGCATGTCAACTTTATCAATGGAGGGACATTTCCTGTATCGCTATAGCTCCTTGAATATTTTCAGACAGTTGATGAATGCACGACTCCAAATGTGCTGAAACAACAAGGGAGGAGGGATAACCACAACAGGGGTTTTGTGGGGGGTCCCATAATATTAAATTATGGACAGTAAGAATGAATGGTTTGTATAAGAAGCCAAAAGAGAATGAGGTAGACACTTGCAGAGGCTTATGTAACCAGTGATTTACAGCTCGCATTGGAAGCAGCTCTGAAAATAGACAGGGAGGAGAACAGAAGTAAAGGAACACTCAGAGTAGTTCCCATGCCGCATGAATGTTTGATCACATGGCGAGAGCAGAGATGAAGAAGCAGAACAGAGCGGAGGACGACACAAATGCAAGAAAACAAAAAGGAGACGAAGTGTAGCCAAGCCTTACTGTGTAAACTAGGACTATGTATTATAAAACACATCTGCTTCTGACTAATATACAGTTCAGCATTCATAATTTATTTGCGATTCACTTAGACCAAATTCCTCTAATAACATTTTTTTTTACATAACTGCCATTTTGTTATGTAATTTGCACAAATGGCTGCAAATGGCACCATGACTGCGGAGATGGGGTGCTAACTGTCTCACTAGGTGGAGGCTTTTTTTCTGCTAATCTGAGAAGCAGGGAGAAATGGTATAAGCCTTAGTAATGAAGCGAGCATAAGAAGGAGAAATCAGATATTGAAAAATTTATTATAATTTATTATTTAAATTATTTACTTTTGGATAGTGATATGAAATCTCTTTTCTTTGTCTATTTACAGCATACAGCGCAGACTTTCCTTACAACTGCCCATCCTGCACCACGCTTACCTACCATCCATAGGAGGGGTGGATGCCAGTTGTACAAGCCCAAACGGGAGCCCTGGTTCCAGCCCACGACACAGACACATGCCCCCCTCGTACCGGGTCATGGTCTCTGGCCTGTGAGCTTCGTTCACACCCCACCTGGCTCTTTGCGAATGAGACATGTGTGTTTATTTTTACACAGACAAGACTGATATCATCAGCATATGTGTGTTACGTCGTCTCAGAATGGAGGGACTTTGGGGAGGAAGCTTTCACTCTTGAGATCTGGCCTCTATTGCGACTTAAAACCCTTAAAGTCAGGACGGGGTGTGAGGAGGCCATGGGCGACCCTGTAGGAACTTATTCACTCCGATGTCCCCTTGTGCATCTGCTCCTCTTGCCTAAACACAAGTGAAGTCCACGCCTGCACACAGCTGATAGTGGAGCAGCAGTGGACAGGCCCTGAACAGGATGTGTAGCCTTACGGATGGAAGTGTCTCTTTTTGTTATCTGTTGTATGTACTGTATGAGCTTGCGTGATCACGTGAGCTTGTCTTCTAATGTGAGTATTTCACAGTTACAAGTGACTGGCATGGGAACATGGAATTTACAAAATCCAACAAAGGAGTATTTGCATCACGCCCTTTTCAAAGTGACTTGTGGAGACATGTAAATATCATTTTCTGACTTGATGTACTGTAACTTTGTATATGCTGTGAATGATCAGATCAATTCTATGTGCGGTACAGGTCGTAAAAACAAGAGTTTATAATCAGAGAATCAGATATATTTATGAGGGAGAAATGAAGTATACATTGGACTGCTCTGAGGCCAGGTGCTGAAAAAGTAGCTAATGAGCAGTGCAGTAACTCATTATTAAAGTCACAATACAAGAAAGGGGCCATTTTATAATGATCAAAATGCATATTGTTTTTCACTCTGCTAAACTTGCAAGTCTGGTTTTAATCGATTAGTTTACATACATTTTTGCCTTTTCATACTTGCATAATACATCTGCAGAAAGCAACAGAAGATTGCTTATGACAGAAACACTATGTAACACTACAAGGGTGTTCCACAGTTGTTCCATTTGTGTTGTAATGTGCGGCACTCTTAATATTGTTCAAAGGCAAGAGAGAATCGTCAGCGGGTGCTTGCAGTCATGCTTTATGGCTTGTTCATTGCCCCGCAGAGTGATTTGCACAGACTGTTATGATGTCCATCTGATCCAGCTAAACCAGCACAGTTAATGAGGTTCAAGGCAGAGTCTAAAAGGCACAAGACTACTATAAAACTCTAAAGTGAGGGATGTTGGAAAGGATGTAGGTCTGCCACGCCCAAATAAGGATCTAGTGGTGGACCTGAATTTCCGTGTGGTGGTGTAGGCAGTGAACACAGAGACACCCACCCACTTTCCTGTAGCTTTCTAGTGACAGTAGAGCATAAAGCACAGACACAGGGCTTTCTTCACAGATGATTGACTTGAGTGTCATGAAAAGCACTTCACACTCAACAGTGTCCATACCTCAGTTGCTATGGAAATGTACCAACTTACATTCAAACTTGGCCCAAGAAAGCAAAGTGGTCACAATTGTGGACACAATGTCATCATTTCTCTACAACTGTCCTCAGAGAAGAAAAAAAGTGAACAGGGACAGTGGACAGTCTGAAGATATTTGTTGTGACTGTGAGAAGGTTTGTTTTTCACCATTGGTGTCTTGGTTTTTAGTTTTTAAGGCGTCTCTGTGCGCTGTGCCTGTTGTCTTATACTGTAGCCTTTACAGGATCCACTGAACATACTATTAGACTGATAATGACAAACAAATGACTACATTGGCCTCACCTGTGTAAACCATATGTGTCATAGTTTTATTTTGATTCAACGCCTCAATGCATGGGACAGTATGGGGAGTCAGGGCCACTCCAGATGAGCTGGGCTTCCTCCTATGGATCAAAAGTACACTTCAGCTCAGAGGCCAGAGACCAGCAGCAGAGGTCCACCTGCTATAGGACATATCAGCCCTGCTTTAGGGGTAGGGAAACCCCGAGCACAGACCTCCAGGAGTCACCACCTCCCGCACCTTTGCCAACCAGAAGGCTACTGTCACTTATCAAATGAGACTTTGTCAAAGGTTGGCTCTTCCTTCAGGAGAGAAGGAGTCAACCACATATTTTATATAATACATTCTATGTGATTGTGTACAATTTGCTGATACCTTGGTGATGGCGTCACTGTCTGGAATATTTTGGCTTTCTTAAGATGGCATGAAATCAAATGTAAGTCACAGGGGTACTTCTGTTTTTGCGGCTGTCGTTACAAGTCCACTGCATTGTTCATCTCACCACCAGTTGTTTTTATCTTGTATTTTATTTAGCCTTTTGATCAACTTCACGTCAATGCCAAGATTCTCAGTGGACTAACATCACTACTACACAGAATGAACTATGCTACTGGATTAACAGTTCCACACTGAGGGCAATAATGTGACAGACGTAGCAGTCAGTTATAAATTGATTCACCTTACTCCTGGCATTAACCAATCCAGTCCATCCAAATGCCAAATGCAGGTCATCAGGTGTTTTATTACTGTGCCCGATATATTTTGTTCAGTTTCTGTACAGTCAATGTGGATGACTACTTTTCCAAATGCAATTGTGGTAGGTCAAGGGCTCATCATTTCTGTGAGAAAAAAGCTCCTGGTTTGTAGTTACCACAGGTGACATATACGGTGCGTATATAAGATATCTTTGTATGTGTCATCATCAGGGTTTCTGGATAACACAAAACTTATGTGTCCAAACTATGGCGTATATATTATGTGGAAGAACTCACAGATCCATACTGTTACTGTTTTGTCAGTTTGATATGTGCTTACACTTGGATTCAGTTCAACAGAGTTTCAAACTGTAATCCTATGCTTAATGCAACATGTTCAAGAGGGGCAATAACTTGTTTTATTATAACAGAAAGAGTAGAAATCTCTATATAAATAAATATATATGTATATGTAAAAGATCTTTTCATTTTTACCTAGGAAATATTTGACACATATGCCACAAGGATATTTGAAAGTCATTTTCATTTTACAGTATCTGTAACTATGTTATGTACAAATGGGGAATAAATATGGAAATTGTATAAATGAGTATCACACTTGGATCACATGAACATTTTTGAAGCCATCAGTTTTGTCATTTTGGGACAATACAAATAACATTCTTCTTTTTCTGTTTGAATGTTATGGACAGCCTTTACTTTTCACATCATTGTTAAATAAAGTGAGACTGAACCTATTGTGTTGAGGTCTGTTTTAGCGTATCATTCCTTGTATCACCTGTTTTTCATTCCATACTTTTGGCATGCTGCAAGAAACAAAAAATGGACTGCGTGGATTCAGACACAGACAAAGATAAAGACAGGTTCTTAAAGCAACACCATGTCACATTATGGAGGTTGCAAATTACTGGAAATAGAAAGTTTCAAATCAGACTTGGGACCATACTTCCTCGGATAGATTTTCTGTCGTATTGTGCAATATTAAAGCCCTCCAACAGGCAAAGTAAGAGTGAATGTTTTTCAGTGCATTCAAAACATCAAAAGTGAAAAGACATGTCTATTTTTGACTAAAAAGTTATGTGATGGGCTTTGTTGTAGACTTTGAAGGGGTAGGTCTCTAGTTGTCTGCTTCCACTTTTTTTTTTTAGGATATTATGATTTCATGCAGATCATTGTCACCTCCATATACATTTCTGTAGTAAACTCGACTGCACCTCTTTGCACATGCCAAGATAGACTTACCTCAAGTGTTTTCATTTGGTCTCTATTTAAATTGTCAGACATTAAGAAAGTTTAGAAATTTGCTTAGCTACAGGGATACAATGTGGACCACAGCCAATCTGAATATGTAATTAAAAGCATGAGATGGTGTTTTATTATTGAAATGTTGGAAGAACCCAGTGGCAAACAGGGTTTAGAAGATGGATGCGAGTTATGCAGTGGTGTAGTGTAGTGTAGGCTTTATATTCTTACTCAAATATTTACTATGTGCATGCTGAACATTATAAAGCTGTAGTTCCGTCTTTATGAACCCACACAATGGAATAAAAACACTGATCTCAAGATTGTCTATTATTATCGTTCAGCAACAATAATATGAACCTTACATTAAGGCTTTTTTTTTTTTTCATTCAGTACATTGCAGCATATATCATGTCATAAATCGTGGCAGACAGAGCAGAGCAGAAGCAGCTCTGGAGACCCCCACAGTGTAAATGCAGCATGACCTTCTCTTGTGTCTTGGTGGGATCGTGTTGTGCAAATGGAAGCCAGGTTGATTAAGTTGACCCTCATGTCACTTCATGTATGAGATGAAACTTGGATAAGAACAGAGAATGAAGAATATAGAAGCTTATAGTTAATGTGTAGAAATTTACTTTTTATTTATTTAACTAAAAGGTAGAGCAAATGAAAGTAAAAATAAAGAGTAAAATAAAATAATTGTTTTTATTTTGGTTGTTTTTATTGCACTGAAAAAAACATCAGTGACTGGGCTTGCATCTCTACAAAACTGAATCTTATTTGGCCAGGAGGAAGGTCTCCTTCTGCTTGTTTCTGTTGAGATGCTGTCCCTTTGACTATGTTATTCCAAAATATGGCATAAAACATATCTTTATCTATGGAGAATGTTCCAAATCAGACATGTCAAAATCAAGCCTAAGGGCCAAATTTGGCCCACGATATAATTATATTTGGCCTGCAAGATCATATCAAATATGTATTAGAGCTGCCCGCCAGCTACAGATAAGCTATAGAGAGATTATTTTTATTTAAAATTTTGGTATTCTTTTATATTTTGCTTATTAAATATTTATTTTAATAAGAAAAGGTTTAATATTACATATCTCGAAAGCAGAGAAAACATGCAGATGTTGTTGACATTTTTCAATAAATATTTAGTTAGGCCCACACATTGAGTTTGACACCCCTGTTCCTAAGTATGGTTTTGACTTTCTATTTCGGTGGAATCATGCAGGTTGACATGCCTCCTCCAGAACATTACACAGTGTTGCTTTAATGTATTCTAATGGCATAATAAACAAAAAACATTTCTAAAATGTACTTTTGGTGAACATTTTTTACT